GAGGCAGAGTTTGACCTAGTATCTGGAAGAAATTAGAACGTGTTCTTGAAGAGGTGATAAATTCCTCAGCCCAGGACATGCTCATGGAGAGACTGAGGACTGTCTCTTTTTGGAAAACAATGCAGAACATTCTTTCATTCGGTTGGAAGATTAAATGAAAAGTCTTAAAGGTCTTCTCCAATATAGTCTGGGGAAATTTTGCATAATGGAAAGGCCTTGGACTTTGAAGAAGCTAGAAGCAGGCTTGGTTATTGAGTTTGCCACTCATTGGCTATATGATAGTGGATACCTTTCTTATCTCCATGCCTTAGCTTTTTCACCCACAAGATGAGAGAGTAGCTTTCATGCAGGGTTGATAAAAGGATGTGAAATTTTAAATATGTATGTACACCACCCAGCATGTGGCACCACCATTGTTGTCACATAGGCAACAATGAATGTTCGGTACTATTATGTCCGTAGAGCCAGCCTTCCATGTAACCATAGGCAATCTGGAGAGGATGCCAGGCAAATCTGTTCTCAGTAATCCTTGGATCCAGTGGAGGGTTTATCATGAGCTACCCATCTTGCGATATAAAGTAAACCAAGAGAAAGGATAGACTGGCATCATTAGCTGGGGATGTCAAATCCCGAAGGCTTAATTAGAGCCTGTTAAGCCATTTCCGATCTTCAGATGAAAGGTGTGCTCATCTTATTACAGCACTAACAAAGTCGCTCGGGGGCTGCTCAGAATCTCTGATCTTTAGACCAAGTTAAATAAAAGAAATTAAATGACTTCTAATGCTGTGCTTCTCTTTTTTCCTAGCCTTTCAAAGAGGACTTCTAGATTGGGAAGGGAGTCTACAACATCCTAGCATTATCCAGGAGATCTTTGGAGGATAAGAAGGGAGAATATGGGATGAGAATGGTGATCTCATACAGGTTGAAATAGAGGGATGGACTGAGGCAATATTACCAACTTCTTTGCTCATAAATAAATAATTGGAGATAGTCCAGTTTCTGAATGTCATGTACAAGACATCATGGGGAACTTTTCCCCAAACATGCTCCAGTATAAGCTCTATTGAATCCCAAGATGGAAAACACTCTCCAAGCAGAAACAGTAATTTTTTAAATGGTAAAAAATAACCCTGAATCCTAAAAGACTATTTTTAACATGGTAATAATCCTTTAATTAGACACCAGTAGGGAATACGGTATTTGGTTCAGACATTTTACCAATTACAACCCACTGGTTCCCTGCATGGTGCTTTCTAAATAATCAAAACTAGCTCTTAATAGTCACTAGTTCAGAGAGAAAGAGAAAGAATAAAACCAAACCCAAATGAGAAGATGCCATTACTAAAGAAAGCCCAGCCTAGCAGGTCATTAGATCCAGGAGTTACCCTGGTTTGCAGGTGGTGTCAGCAAAGAACAGCCCTGGAGAAGGTTTTGATTTGGGGGTTTAGTGGTTTCAGGGGAGTAAGGAAAAGTCAAGAGTGGGAGAGCTAAGAGCATGGGATTTGGAATTGGACAAACCTGAGCACGAATTCCAGTCTGGCCAAGTCTTTGCTGGCAGTGGGACTTGGGCCAAGCTCCCTAAGCTTGAGTTTTCTTATTGGTGAAATGAGACTTGACCTGCCTTGGAGTGTTGTCCTCAAGAGTGGCAGTGTTCTGCACAAAGTGCCTGTGTGGTGTCTGGTACCCAAAAGGTACCCAAAAGATGTTTCCCCAGCTCCTTGTCACCTTCCCCTCCCCTGTCAGCATCACCTTGGATGGAATTGGGAGAGATACTGACATTCCTATGACCATGGATGAGAAGCTCAATTAACTATCACTCCCTAAACCATTTCTCCACCATGCAATAAGCAGGGGAAGGACACCTGTCAAGAGGCAAAGATTGGGCGGTGATTGGAATGGGACCTAGGGACCAGCTCTGCGAAGCTACATCTGTGCTCAGGACATAACACACAGTTTCCACTTGGTACTCACAGCACCTGAATCAGACAGGAAAGCAAAGGGACAGTCACCAGATTTGCTGAAGAAAAATGGTCATAAAGAGAATTCTTGCCATCCATTTTATATGTCCAGTCAGGAGTGTGTGTTCCTTAGGGTAGCTAAAGGTCAGAAATATCATCTTCTTTAATGGTCACTTGTGTGGCAGATTCCACTCAGTGTTTGCTCAAAAATAGGTGTGGGGTTCAGGGAGGTCATAAGAAATTCTTTCTACTCATGGAGGCTCCAGGTTACTAACAACACTCTTCCACTAGGGTAGGATTTATCAAAACGTAATCTGTAAACTACCCATATTCTAATCATCCATATAGGCTCCAGTTAAACATGGTAGATTCCTGGAATGCACTTAATTTTACTAACCAAAATGGATAACTGTTGGAAATGTACTTTTTAAAGCAAGCACCACAGGTCACTCTTGTGCACACTGAATTTGAGATACCTGTCCTATACTGCTAATGGGTGCTGATGAGGACAGGGTGGCAGTCACTGTGGGAAGTACTCAGGGCAGACATGCTGGATGGGCTGGATGGAGGCTTTGGGTAGGTGCTGGGGTTTGATGTTGTTTATTCTTAATGACTCAGGCAATCCTATAGCCTTGGAATCTAATGCAGAAGCAGAATTAAGGTGAAGAGGAACTTTGAGCCAAAGCAGCTATCTTTCAAGTGGAAGGTGGGAACAGGGCCACAGCAGATATTCCTAGATGGAAGGGGTGCCAGAAGTGGACTCTTTCCCAGGATCTTTAGTAGAGCAAGACTGAGGTATAAGGGAGTTTTTTCAAAGCCTGCGATCTGGCTTCTGTAGATAGGGTTGGCATGAACATTAGGTTCTCTTAGCTCAGGGATGACAAATCTTTCAGGGCTTTCAGTGATAACAAACAGCCTGCCGAGGCATGTGTGCGATAGGTTCACCACCACTGTGATCTAGCTGCTTCTCCACCATTATTCTCTCTCTGCCATCTTTCTTTTCTACCCGGCTGTATTTTTCCCCAGTCCACTAATCACTACTGACATCATGTTATGTATGTATGTTTGTCGCCTGTCACCCCACAAATGCAGACTTTTTCATTTTGAAAACTTGTACCTAGAAGGGAGGCCAGCACAAAGTACATGCTTAACAAGTATCTCTTGAAACAGTGAATGAATGTTTTTCACATCCCCCCAGCATATTGGGGCTTATTGGAAAAGTCTGCCTGGCAAGTTCCCTATGGACTGGCAGCTTATTTATTCAGGGAATGATGAGCCTAAAGGCATAATTTGAGTTTCATAACCCCAAATTGCAGCTGTTTTTCTACTTCACTTACTCCTAACAGACAGTGAGCTCCCTCTCAGTGCAAGGATGGTGTCTTTTTCAGCATTGCTTCTCCCAGACCAGCACAGTGCCTGATGCATGCCACATGCTCAGTAAGTGATTTGTTAGACCATTTAAATGACCAATTTGTGGCACTCCATCCTCATAGCTCCTGGCTGCCTATCTGACCCAGCTCCCATTTGAGAAGGTATGAAAAAGGGAAGTTATTGTTGCTGCTTAAAGATCACATAGCTGTGGTGCAGAGCTAGGTGGAGCTGGTAACAGAGTCACCGTTAGGGATTGGGGGTCATCTCCCTCTGTCTGAGACTCTTTCCTTTCACTTTATTTTCTTCCGGGGTGTGTGATGTGGTCTTGTGGCCAACACAATCACACAACACTACTGGACTCGTGAGAAGGGGTGAGAGGAGCCCACTAGATATGGGGACAGTGGCAGGAGACAGATGGTGATGGGCCTCTATAGTTCAGGGTTTCATCAGAACTATCCTAAGTGCCTGACGACCCAACCTGTTCCAGGGACCTATCCTAGGCCTACCCAATCAGACTTATGGGATAGAGTCTAAAAATCTGCATTTTAAACAAATTATTGAGGTAATCCTGATGGATAATTCGCCATAATGGGTAAGAACTTGGGCTTTAGAGGGGAGATATATGTAAATCCAAAACTAGCTCTGCCTTTTGTGGTCCAAGTTGCTTAGTCTCCCTGAGCCTCAGTTTCCTCATTTATAATGAGGAAATTAATAAAATGTACCTATTTTGTAGAGTTAAATGAGAAAATACATGTTAGACTTAACATGATATAAGACCCATGGTAAGTGCTTTATAAATGAGTTGCCATGGTGATGATGATGATGATGATGGTGGGGTAGTGGTGGTGGTGGGTGGTGAAGATGAAGATGATGATTCTTCATTGTCTGCTGGGAGGGATTTGGGAAATTCCTGCGTGCTACATTTCTTTGTTCAGCCACTATGATCTATAGGAAGGTCTTTAATATGCCTGCCTCTGGCTGTAATTAGTGTCAAGACTCCCATTTTCAGCCTTTTCTAAGGTTAGAGAAGGGCTCTGAATAAAGGAAGTTGATTACTATGATGATGGGGAAGACATGAGACCTTCAGAGAGACATTTGGAGTGGTTGTCAGAATCCCTCCTTCTTCTGATGAAGAGAACCCAAGAAAAGGAGAATAAGAAGTTTAGTGGATGAGACTGACATAAGGAGTAGGGAGCTGTAAGAAGCTATGAAGGACAAATTATCCACAAGATGATGGGAGCAGATAGGTAACAGACAGGAGAGGAGGGTGTGATTGGCACAGGGAGTGGGGGTATGGGTTGGCCAGAGAAGAGCTGACAACTGTGCCTTATCAGGGTTAGGGTGAGATTCAACGAGCAGAATGATCCACAGAATGGATAAGGACTGGGAACGCCTTTCTTAAATGACACTCTTGTCTCCCCCCTCACCCACAGAGCATGTCCGCTCCCTTTTAGTGTTTTGCTGGGATTGAAAGCCCCCATGCTGGCTCAGCTTGGGGCAAGAAGGGCGACCAAGGCAGGCCAGGAGCCTTGCCTAGGATGCAGCCTGCTGACATTGAGGACAACTGACAACAGGAGATTGTCCTGAGCACCAAGGAGTGGAAGAAATGGGGTAGGGACAGAGAAAGGAACACAGAAGAGTTCTTAGTCATAGTACCACAGCTAGGCTTACCTGCCGGAAACCATTCCTTGTGAACTGTAAGATTTTCAAGGCATAGTTGGATCTCTGGCCTTTGCTGTTGAATTCAATGTGGCCAGTGAGACCTTCCAATTCTACCTGTCCAAGAGAGAGTGAGTTACAGCACCAAATAGGCCCCATGTTCACTTGGCCCCAAGCAAGCATGCTACACACATGGTATGTAGGGATGCCCAAGAGAGGGGAAGCCATCAAGACCCCCTTTCCTCCCCACCCCCCTACCACAACATACCCCAGGCTGCCCCATACCTCATAACCCCTACCACCTGCATAGGCCAGTACAAATAATGATGCTAACTTGAGCTCAGATTCCCCTCTGCCCTTTGTTTAGGCCTTTGACTGTCAAAAGCATTTATTTTCTTTGGAGAGCTGCTTAACCCCGCTCCCAGGTCTGCAGGAGGTCAGGATGTCCCTATATCTGACTGTAAATGCAAAATCCAAGACCCTATGCACCAGGGCTCTCTGACACGAGATGCCTACTTCATGGCTGGGGAGGAGTTATGGGGAAACCCAGCACCAAGCCAGAAGTCTGTAGCCTGTAACTCCTGAAGGGATCACAGGCACAACAGCATGGACTTTCCCCCGGAATGTAGAATCTGCTAGGGTCATAGCTCAGCAGAGGCTGGTTGTAAGCCTGGAATTCACAACCCCTTGGTAATCTAAGGTTCAAGTTTATGTCTTTGGAAAAAATTTGCCATGGATTCTCATTGGGTGGCAAGGATTGGGGAACTATGATCCACTCAACTGGGATCACCACAGCTGACTTTTTATCTGGGGCTGTGAGGAACTGGGGAAGCCTGGAGGGGAGGGGCTCTTGTGTCTTACACTAAGTGTCCCACCCATCAGGCTGGGCTGGCCACGGGCCTTCGGCCGCTCCTCACCATGCGTAGGTAGTTCATGAGGCTGGTGCCATGCTGCCAGATCTGGGCTGAGCCACAAGACAGGGGCTTCACACCAATCTCCTGGCTCCGATTCAGCTCCTGCACTGCCATCACCACAGCATAGACAGCATCAAAAAGCAGGGCCGAGGACAGCTAGGGGAGGCAGGTAACAGGGCAGAGAGAGGAAGTAAAAAAGTGTAGAGAAAGAGAGGGCAGAGGATGGAGAGAAAAGGAGGGCCCCCAGAGGAAGAAAAGAGAAAGCAAATAAAAAGGAAAATAATGCTGACTTTCAATTGCTCCTGTCTACTCTGTCTCTGAACTTACCCCTTCTGTTAACAATCTAGGTACTTCTCTAAGGCAGACAATGGCTGCAGAAGCTTCTTTGGGACTAAAGCATCAAACAACCCCCTGGGTGCCACATGATTTCAAGAGTATCTTTTTCTCTCTTTTTCCCAGGGAAAGAGCAACTTCCACTGTTCTCAGGAATCTCTGAGAAGAGGGTGGGTCTGCCAGAGCATTGTCCCACATGAGGACTTCTCATAACTTTCTGCCTACCTGGTTGGGCTCTAGGACACTGGAGGTGGGAAGAAGGGAGGTTATCTTTGGTTTTCTCAAGTGCCCCAGCCAGAGTGTACATAGCAGAGTGAGACAGTATGACGTAGAGGAAAAGCCTGAAAGCAGACTCTAACCCAGAGTCCAGACCCCAGTTCTTCCCTGTGTGCTGAGTGACACGGGGCACCTTGCTGAGCCTCCCTAGGTGAGCTGCTGACCCCAGGAGAGGGCAGGAACCTGACCACTCCCCTCAATTTGCCCATTCTACCAAGCACAGCTGGAAGCCACTTCCTCCTTGAACACCCATATTACTTCTTCCTAGATGTACCTACATGTATAATCAAAGTCTAATTTGCACTCTTCAACTTAATGAGAAGGCATGAAGTATGTGGTAACTTCAAAGCCCAGAGATAAGTAAGACCCTACTCCTGCATGGAATGGGGGAGGAAGAGCAGAAGATACAATAAAGTTTCTCTGCTCCAGTCCAACTTCACTTGCATACAAAACCACCTGGCCGGTGTATCCCTTCTCCCTTCTCTTATTCTAACCCTCCCTTTCGTGCTTCTTCTTTCCGTCTTCCTATTTCTTTTCCTTCTTTCTACTTTTCTTCAGCCCCTGCCATTCAGCAGGTACAACATTCATTCTCTACAGACATATCCCAGGAGGTCCCAGAGTTCCCTCTACCTCTACTGAGTCTCCTGCTTTCCCAGCTTGATCTGCCTCCTCTTTGTCTCTTGGTCCTGAATCCACCTGTGACCTGAAGACTGAGCAGGGAAGGGTACCCAAATTCTGAGATGGGGTCAGGGGCAACCTCTGTGGTCTTGTGAGCTGGACTGAGCAGCCATTCTCCTCTGAGTTCATTTCATCCATCACCTTCTACTCTCTCCTCCACCCACTTCCCTTCCCTTTGGCTGCTTAGCTCCTGCTTCATTTGATTTGAGGCTCACCTGTGCAGCACCTGATGCTTACACTCCACAAGCTTACACTGTCCTTGTCCTTTGCATGTAATTCATTTTCCCCTGAGCACATGTGGCTACATTATTAATGGCCTCTCACATTTCCTTGCCCAAAGGACATATGGAAATGATGAATGGTAGACTCTCCCTCCCCAGCTTAGACAAACACCTACCCGAGGGGGAGCTAGTTATCCCCATTGCTGATGGCTCCTAGATCCTTCAGTTTGGCCATTTAAATGATATTGTAAACCAATTTCTATCCCCTCTTCCTCCTTGCCTCACAATTAGTCTCTCTATTCCAAGAGCTCACAAGTCAGAGTTTGTATTGCAAGTGATCATAGAAATCAACTAGTCTGACTCATGTTATAAATTAAGAAACTGAGGCTCAAGCAGTTTGACTCTTGCCCAAGATCACATGCAAGAAAGTTCAGGGGCAGAACTGGCCCTCAGCATCATTTTGTCCAGTCGAGTTTCCTCTCATTTCTGCAGACTGTCTTTCTACCTGACTGACTGACAGGGCTCCTCTTTATTTGTATTT